GGTTCCAATCCCCCTTTCTTGGGTAGTTCTAGTCCTGTAGGCAGATGTCACTATCCTCTTGGGACTGCTACGGTATTGGAGCAGCTCTCTTTCGCTCAGGGCCCCGACCTTGTTCTCGCCCGCCATGACTTGATGTTCTTCAGTGTCAAGGCCAGGTTGCGGCGCTCTCCGTGGCCCAGGTCCCTCAGCGGTCACATCCTGGGGCTCTGCCACCCCTACACCCCGGCCTCACGCCCCCTCAAGTGCGTCCTTCTTCTGTGGGTCCGATTCCTCAGTGGTGGGGGTGCTATTCCCCCTTTCCTTTTCCCTGTTTGACCCAGTATAGGGTCGCAGCACAGGCTTGGACCACTCACAGCCCCAAGGCCCTCTTTGTATGAAACACTCCCTCAGCTATCTCAGCTAGGGCATCCGATATAAGACCAAACAAAATACCATAACCAAACTTAAGGCTTCACTACCTGACCCTTTTGTTAGCTGAGGATCCTATCTGGACCTCTTCGGTCCTTCTGCGCAGACCCTGGCCCCTAATTTCCCTTGGACCCCTCCAATTTCCTACCCCGGTGGTTCAGCGGCAATCCTGCCCTGATTACTCTCTCTCCGAGCTCTCCCGGGTCTTCTTCCCCCTTGGGATCACTGCGTCTCCGCACCCCTGCCCCGGCACTCCACCTGTGGGTCCCACTATCTTCGGGTTCACACCCCGTCAGTCCGTCCATGGCTGTGCTGCCCACTCGTCTTTGGTCCGGCGCAGTCTCCAGCCACGCTGTCAGCCTCTGTTCCCTTGGAGCCACGCCATCAGCCGATGCCGTCGCTTTCTCCCTTTGAGGAGCCGGCAGCTGCTCCTCCCTGGGGCTTTCCGCCCCTCCCGCTGGTGGAGCTCCCAATTGCCCAGTCCTGGGGCTCTCTCTCTCTTCTGCTGCTGCAGCTGCCTCTTTTAACTTTCCTGGCTGGCGTCCTTCCCTGACGTCACTGATTGGATGCACCTGCATAAACACGCGGCTGACACGCTGCACGGATCCTTTCGGCGTCGGCGTCGTGTGTTTCTCCTCAGGTTTTGCAGGTAAGCCCTGTTTACTAGTCATCTCCCCGGGACATTCCCACTCTTCTTCTGTTGAAACAAGTTTTTTTTCTCCTATTGAACAACAGACTGGAGACTTTGGAGAAGTGTCTTGGGTCCTGATCCTAAAGATAGTTACGCATTCAAATTTTTGGGCCTTGATTCCTCTCATCAGGACATTGTACTGGATGAATGAATGTCATACTGAATAATTATTGTATTCCCAAATACATAAACCAGAGTTTTAAAGAGATGCAGATACATAAAGAGACAAAGGACAAAGAAAAAGAAATGAGAGAGATTAAACTAAGTATTGATTGAAAGTTTGGTTTGAGAATGTCAATGTGGTATGTCACTGGAGTTGCTCATATCTAGTTTCCATCTATGAGCCAGACTCACCAGAAATATTAGATCTTTCATGATGTGCTATGGCTCAAGACTCCCATGACTGACATAGTGAATCAGTAAGGATGAGGATGACACAAAAGTAAAAAAATTAAGGAAAAAAAATATACTAAACATTTAACAGAAGGGCTAGGAAGCCCTTTTGGCTCAACAGGGAAATCAAGGTCCCTCCTAAGAAAGAAGAAAGAGGCATAACAACAACAGAAGCTTGGGATAGGCCCCAAGAAGGACTCTACAACAACAGCCCGCACTTGTAGGAAACAAATTAGGAAAGCTAAGGTGGCGACTGAGCTCAAATTAGCAATGGGAATCAAGGACAACAAGAAGTCCTTCTTAGGTACATAGGGAACAGAAGGAAAGCAAATGAGAGTGTGGGGTGATTGCTTAGCAACTCAGGACACCTGGTTATCAACACTTAGGAGAAAACTGAACTCCTGAATGACTAGTTTGCCTTGGTATTTCACCAGGCAAGGAGAAAATCATGCCAGGTAGGATACAGAATGAACAGGGCAGGAATGATTGCCTACCTACTATTGCCATAGAACTGGTATGTGATCAATTGAAGAAATATGTCAGCAGGACCGGATAAACTCTATTGAGAGTGCTGAAGTAGCTGGCTGAAGTCATCGTGGAACCCCTGGTGAAACTCTTTCAAAACTTTTGGTGCTCCAGAGAGGTTCCTGAGGACTGAAAGAGGGCCAAAGTTGTGCCCATCTTCAAGAAAGGGAGGAGGGAGGGCCCAGGTAACTATAGGCAAATTAGCCTAACTTCTATCCCAGGGAAAATCCTAGGAAAAAATCATTAAGGAGTCTACTTGCGATAGACTTGCAGAAGGTAGGATTCTGAATGGCAACCATCATGGCTTCATCACGGGCAGGTCTTGCCTTACCAACCTCATCTCCTTTTATGATTAGGTAACTCACCACCTGGATAAGAGAGACGAGGTTGATATTGTATACCTTGACTTCCAAAAAACCTTCAATCTGGTATCCCATGATGTTCTTACGACAAAATTGGAGGATTGTGGGCTTAACTGCAAGACAGGTGAGTACGAAGCTGACTGAATGGATCTGTATAATCCTGGTGAGAAGTGACCAGTGGTGTCCCACAGGAGTCAGTGCTTGGTCCAGTACTCTTCAACATCTTTATCAGTGATTTGGATGTGGGAGTGAAGAGCTCACTGGCCAAGTTCACAGACGACACCAAGTTATGGGGAAGCATGATCATGCTTGAAGATAGGCTACAGATACAGGCAGATCTAGACAGGCTAGCAAGCTGGGTGGGTCAGAACCAGATGAAGTTCAACATTGAGAAATGTAAAGTGTTCCACTTGGGGATGAACATCCCCCTGCACACCTACAGGCTTGGTGGCACCAAACTGACCAGCACCACGAACAAAAGGGACCAAGAAATAATAGTAGACCACAGTATGAATACGAGCCAGCAGTGCAACGCTGTAGCCAGCAGGGCAAATAATACTCTGGCATGCATCAAACTGATGCATCTCCAGCAAAATCAAGGAAATGATTCTTCTATTCTACTCAGCAGTGGTGAGATTGCAGCTGGAGTACTGCATCCAGTTCTGGATGATGCACTTTAACAAGGACGTGATAAAGCTTGAGAGAGTCCAAAGAAGGGTCACTTGTATGATCAGAGACTTGCACGGCAAGCCATATGAGGAAAAGCTGAGGGACCTGGGACTCTTCAGCCTGAAAAAGAGAAGGCTAAGAGGGGACTTGGTAGCAGCTTACTGCTACATCAGGGGAATACATCAAGGGCTCAGTGAACAACTGTTCACCAGGGCATTCTTGGGGAAAACCAGGAGTAATGGCCACAAACTCCTGGAAGACTGTTTCAAGCTCAACACTATGAAAAATGTCTTCACAATTAGAGTGTTCAGGCTGTGGGATAAGCTCCCTCCAGAGGTGGTACAATCATCTATCCTGGAAATCTTCAAGAGGAGACTGGACAAACACCTTGCTGGGGTCAGCTGACCCCAGTTGTGTTTCCTGCCTGTTAAATGATCTTCTGAAGTCCCTTCCAGCCTTACCATCCATGAATCTATAAATTAAACTTGAAATATCATGAGAAAAATCAGTTCTGGATATAATAAAACTGAACAAAAGGTTATGGAATGATTACAGCTACGTTTATATTTTAATACTAAGATTTTAGTATTAGAATTATTTAAATGTGTAAAATTTTTGATAATCTCAGTGTAGGTCCTAGAGGATCATGACCACCTCAAGAAATGGAGAGGAATGGAGTAGGGTATGTACCAAAAAGTGAGACTAAAAAAGCTTTCAAAAGAATTATAGAAGAAATGATTGTACAGTGTCTACTCCCAATCAGGGATAATTAACTTAAGTAGATGTCATTAGTTTACAACCACCAATTTCACACTGATATATACACAAGCATGTTTGAAAAAAATGCTAAATGAGATGTAATTAATATATATTGCAACAGCAATTACTTACTTATAACTTCAGAGAAAGGTATTCAACTAATATTCATTATCTTATTTTTTTTAATTGGAACCTGTTCTCATGAGTTCTTAGAACAAATGGCAGCAAGGTAACTGGCTGCTTTAGCTTCAGGTTGCTCAGGCATTTTATGCCAATGCCATCTCGAAGAAATATGACTTTAGCTAGGGGCAGAATAATCTCTCTTTATTTTAATCATATTGATGCATAAAGCATTTGTTTTATTCCAAGTGTCTTTGATCAGATGTCTTGATATTGAACAATTTTCCCAAATAAATGCAAATGTGACAAAATAAAGACACCAGATACAATTCCATACTTTTCAAACAGACTAACCTCCATTCCTAAGAGGGTGAATTCATTTGGCACCACCAACTGAGAAAGTGTGTTTTAAAGGCTGTATTGAAGGGATGCCTGGATTAGTTACAAACAATTGCCTATAATGGTATCTGTTTTGATTTGCATTGAATTACCCTGCTGCTTCTGCCTGCACTGAGACTTCTGTCGTGCTGACTGGACTTTGTAGGTTATGTTATGAGGAGACAAGAAGGGTCTGCTCAGTTTTATGTTCATGATAAAGTATACTACATATTTTAAAGGTTATATAGAGATTTTTCTAGGACAAAGTATAAAGTCTGCTATCATCAATGAACGATCAATTATTGCTGAATGATTAAGTTGTTATCATATTTCTTCTTACATGAAAACTATATGTATTCTTAAGAAATCATTCTTAATGCTATTTGTTCTACATTTTAGTTTGGAAATAATCCACGGAAGAGTAAACATCTTTGGTTAGAAAGAAACAGTGTTAAAAAGACAAAACAGTGATGCATAAAAATAGCCTATATTTAATAAGATATTTTAAAACTAAAAAAAAAGTCATTTCTTTTCAACGTACAAATTTTCTTATCATAAAGTTATTATTGTCGCATACTATTACTGCAGTCTATCCTTATATAAAATATAAGTGATAACCTTGATAAATTTGGTAAATATCTTTGAAAGTAGAATGAGAATAATATAGCTGGCAAGGCTTTCGTAAAGGTACTTACATGATCAATTAGTTCCCGAACCATTCCATTCCACTGTCCGCTGGCATCATCCTGGGCTCCATATTTTCCATCCTCCACAAGCCTAATTTCATAGTTAAATCCAAGGATGGTGGACAGTTCCCTGAGGAGGTCAATGCAATATCCTTCAAATCGATCATTCCCATACAAAGGTTTGTCAGACTTCTTGAACATCACATATGGCTCTTCCTGTAAGAATTGAAAGCACAGAGAGAGTGTCAATCATACAGTATATTAACTTTTTTGTTAATATATTACCATGATATCATGTCCTGTGCACAGAGGTTATGAAGAGAAAACTGTCATTGCATCATTCAAAAAACAATTTCTCTCATTTTTAAGTGACATCAAAAAGCCAATGCTGCAGCCATGTTGCCAATGCAGCTGTACTCAACTCAATTTGAAATGTATTCTTTAACAAATTCCTTATTTGTCCCAAGTATTGATTGGGTGGAATTCTGTAACCTGCTTAAAAATGAAAGTAACCTAAAAACGTGTTTATTTTGGCAATTGAATACTAATAGTTTTATTATGGATCTCTAATATCAATCAAGAGTCCTAAGTACCACATGCTATACTTTTCTTAACAGCAGGGATGTTAATAGTGCTCTCAATGCCTTATTAAATAAGTATATAGAAAAACCCTTCAAAAAACATCAGCCACAGTACATTCTGTTCTCCTGCATCAAGTTAAAAGTTGTTATTTAGGAGAGCACAGAACACTAATGAACATATTAACATAAAAAGTACATGAAAACCAAATTTTAACTTTCTCAAGTTTTCAGCTCTCAAACTTAATTCTAAAGTTATGATATGATTGAAGATTCAGGCAGCTATATATTGTTTCAAGTAATGCCTAGAGAATAGCGTATACTTTACTAAGAACTGCCAGTTACTTTAATTTTTTTGGTAGTAACCTAATAGCTGACACCATGTGGGATTTCTGATTATATATTGGTTGTAGAAAAAAGTCTAGCTTTCACTAAATACAGTATAATGACAAGGAAAGGAGAGAGGCTTATAGTTTTCTACTACCAATACAGTGCCAATCTTCAGTTTCCAACTGAAACAGGATAGGTTAGATGCATGAGCTCAAGCTTTGCTGATGTTTTAGAGTCCTTTCCATTTTATGCAAGGATAAAAAATAACCACAAAGTAAGGTAAGAAAAATGGCACCAGATGCAATCACTGCACCAGACACAAGATTCAATGAATAATAAAATAAATTCTCTAGGGTAACTTTACAAAATGCATACAGTCCAAAATCCCTGCCTCAGCATTCATAGGGGTTAATGGCACTTCATTCTACTGGCACCTGGCAGCTTTAATAAGGGTCTGTCAGCATTTCCAATATAAACCCCATTTTGAAGAGTCCCATAACTCATCCATTTTAATTTGCATACAGCTGAAACTTTAGCACACAAGTTTTTAGCCTGAATAGGAAGAGGGAATGCATGAAGATTTTCCTTTTTAAAACCAAGTATTTTCAGCAAGTGGATATTTCCCCTTCATGTAATTTAAAGAGACTGCTGGCCTTTTTATTTTAATTGCCATGTTAAGATTTTGTTATCCATACTTAAAATAAATGCATTTATGGTTTAATGTTTTATTCACACAAACTATAATACTTCTGCCAGTGGAGCTCCTCACGAGTTAGGCTTTTGCAGAGTTCAGTACTTTAGTTTTTAACAATATATGCCAAATAATTAAAAAGATTTTGCATTTTTAAATTTTAAAATAAAATAAAGTGTTGTAATGGAATTTCATTCAGTCTAGATAGCCGACAACTGTATATACAAGCTGCATGCACACACACAATACTTGCAAAGCTGCATATATCCAGTCTTGGACAGTGATAAAAAAAAAAGATTCTATCAGATTTGAACATCTTCTTCATGGTACAGTTCAAGCTATCTCACCTACAGATATTTTAATGTGTTATATAATTTGATTTTTACTTTGTTTTTAAAAGCACTTCTGGAATAAATCAGACAACTACTTTCTAAAAACCTGAGACACAATTTTATCTAGGTATTCATTTGGCATGTGATTAATACTGTACAAATAATTTCAAGGCTAGTAATGGATATCTGATGAATACAGATAGTGCGTGTGAAATACCTACATAATATTTACCTTAATTACCCATATAATTTTGTATGATGAAACATTTTAAAAAATATATATATTTTTTTTTTAAAGAACTGCATCTATAGATTAACTCTTCACCTTAAAATTTCCATCTTAATAAAAAGCAGTACACAACTGAAAACCTCAGTGGAATTTTTACAGATGAACACTATAAAGATTAATACTGAAAGGAAGACAGATGATGACACAGATGAGTAACTAAAACAGTTTCAAAAGCCTCCTGGTATCTCCATCTAATTTTTTTCAATGCTTTTCACTCCTCACCTTCTTAACATGATAGGAACCTTTAATTCATCATTTCTGTCACTGATAAACCAGCTTACTTTCACTGAATCACAAAGAAAGAACAGATAGATTTGAATGTGTTAATTGATATACAACGTTCCATTAACATAAAGCACACTGTTTTCTTTGCATAACAGGAAAGAAGAAAATGATGAGGGTCTAACCATTTCAAGATGTTATGCCTTTTCTCATGCTTTTATAATGGAAGCCAAAAAAGCCCAACCATTTCTAGCATTCTTCTTTTGAAAAATGCCTTGATTGGATATATGTATTCATAGTTAGCTATTCATTGACTGCCTCCACAACTTGACCATTAACAGCAATGTTCTCTTGAGCCTTATTTTTATTAAATCACATTGACATGCACAAATTTTTTTTTTATCACATTCAGACACAGACCATCATGCTCATTAACTGTTTTTACAGTCTCTGACACTGGCTTTGCACTGGGTAACAAGAATATTGGGTCATCATCGAACCCAAGATCAGTTAAGAGGTGTTCATGAATAGGAGTTCAAAATTCTTCCCCCTTGTCAAATCTTTCCAAACCTTATCTCATAATAAATTCTGCATGCTGAAGAGCCTGTGAGCAGAATCAGCCTTGTTTCTCACCCTAGAAAAACACTAACCATCACTGTGAGATATATGAATGTGCACATGAATGTTAAATGTGCATATTAGAATCTAAGCTTCAATTTTTGTTTACTGAATCTGCTGATGGCAACTAATTCATTGCTTTATTTTAGCTTCAAAATATATTCAGTGTTAGGCAGCATGGCAGCACTCTTACCCATATCAGTGGCTTGAGTCATTAAATTTCTGGTTGCACACAATAGTCACTCACTGCTGTTGACTTCCTGATCTGCTGTTGAAGACGGAGACTTTTGATGAGTTTTCCTCGAAATTCTGCACCTGGCAGTACACTCCATAGGCCAGGGCTGTCTAGTTTCCAAGCAGCTGTTCCACAGGCTGCCCCAGTGGGGGACTAGATTCCATAGATTCCATAGACATTAGGGCTGGGAGGGACCTTGTAAGATCATTGGGCCCAGCCTCCTGCCCAAGGGGCAGGAAGTCAGCTGGGGTCAACGGATCCCAGGAACATAAGTGTCCAAATGTTTCTTAAAATTATCCAGAGTAGGTGCTTGCACCATCTCTGGGGGGAGTCTGTTCCAGGCCTTGGGGGCTCAGACAGTAAAGAAGTTTTCCTTATGTCCAGCCTAAAATGATCTTGCAGGAGTTTGTGACCGTTGGACCTTGTCATCCCCTGGGGTGCTCTGGTGAACAGCTGTTTCCCCAGATCCTGATGCACACCCCTTATGTACTTACAGGCTGTCACCAAGTCACCCCTGAGCCTGCACTTCTTCAGGCTGAAGAGTCCCATAGCTCTCAGCCTTTCATCATAAGGCCTGTTTTCTTGCCCTCGCATCATGCGCGTGGCTCTCCTCTGGACTCTCTCGAGCTTCTCAAGCTTCTGGACTCTTTCAAGCTTCTGGACTACATGCCCAGCAGATTACACCAGGGCAAGCCACAGCTTCCTGGGCCTCACACCCTGCAGATATGCCTCATGAGCCACCCCTTCACCCTCCATCCATATCCACCCAACTGCTACACCATGTGCCTGGGACCCTCTCTCTACCCATGAAGGTGTTCCTCCACTACACTGCACACTTGTATGGGTGCCACACCGCTGTGGGCCTGCAACTGCACCCTGTTGTAGCACACACCCACATGGGTGCCCCACTGCTGCACCTTATGCCTGTGATTCTGGCACCCCCACTAAACTGCATGCCCCAGACTCACCCTTAGCTCACTGTGTTACCACACTGCCCCACTCCCTGCCCTAGGGAAGGGCAGTAAATGGCAGCTAGAAGAGGGAGTGGGAGCCCAGATGCTGTGGAGTGTTGGGGAAGCCATAATTTAACCCCATTCAGTTGGACAGCCCTGTCATAGATTATCACTTGAAATGGTATCAAATACTTTTAAGTAATCAATAAAAAGTTGTTCAATAGGTAATATTGATCCTGAACTTTTCAATAATTTGACAAACTTTTGTGATATGATCATGTGACCCTTCTCCCTTTCTGAAACCAGCTTGTTCTAATGGTTGTTCTTTTATCAGTCATTCCACACAGTCATTCATTATGCAGAACAGAAGTCTTCCTCATGTGTTACAAACTTCTGATATATCCTTTCTCTTTGGTAAGTTCAGAAAGATTCATTTTATCCAGCTGACAGACCACATTCTAGGAATCTACATGGTAGCATAGTTGATGCAATAAAAGATACTACCCTAAGAAATCGCTGGCTTTCACAGTAATCTACCTATTGTGTTTTTTTCCCATTAGACCAAAACTATGGTATACAATTACTTTTAATAATTCTGCTGATATGTTATCTAGCCCTGTTGCTTTTCCAGCTTCATTTGCAGAACAGTGTTTGCCAGATCCTCTGGTAAAATTGATAGCCCCAGTTTCATGATCTCCTTTCTGTTATCTGTTATTATTATTATTAATTTTGAGACACATCATTTGGCACAATAATTTCCTCACCAGCATTTGATTATTCTGTCATTATGATTTTTGTCACATTTTAACACAAGCAACTTTTGGTGCAAGTTTTTTGATCCACAGAATATCCCTTTTGTATTACCTTCTTTATGATTCTCAAGTTCCATGTATCTTGCTATTATATATTCGCCCTTGTTTCATCTAGCTTGCCTTTGGATCTGTCTGTCTGGTTACATATATCCTCTT